TAACGCGATTGTGACTAGCAATCTTCACTACTTGTGCATATAAGTGTGTGACAATTATGTGAAACAAACTTATATTCTAGCATCATATTCATGCAAGCCAATTAAGTGTCGACCCCTAATTAACAAACACAAATACGTTATTACTCGCACAGTTAAGCCAATTGCATTCACGATTCAAGAACTCATAACTGGAATTTATCAAATCAACTTGCACACATAGTTATGGCTTCGAAATCACCCCTAACCAATAGGGGTTTAGCCACTCATGTTCATAGCAAAATGAAAGGAAAATAAATTAAACATTGAAATCATAAAACGAATTACACCTAGAATGCACCAACGACGAAGCTTGAGCATCCAAGAGTCCTTCCTTCTTTCTCCTTGCTACGGCACAAAGGTGGATGGGATGGTTGGGATGTGTTTTAGGATCAGGGATTATGGAATTGGATGGAGGATAGGCACGGCAAGGTGTAGTGTTTGGTTGGAATTGTGTTTCTAGGATTTTAGGATGTGAAGAGTGGTGTGGCTAGATGAATGGACGAAAATTGGGTGAATGAGTGATCCCCTTAGTGCCTTGCTGCAAAGCCTTATTTATAGGGCTAGGAAAGGTTTTGAACTTAGTTGAAACCAAAATGTTTTTTTGTACCAGAAATTCTATACATGAAACACTTAAAGGATATGTGTGTGTAGCTTGGACAAGGTAGGACGGCTAGTGACAAGCTAGGACGGCTAGGAGACAAGCTAGGACGGCTAGGAGACAAGCTAGGACGGCTAGTGACAAGCTAGGACGGCTAGTGACAAGCTAGGACGGCTAGGAGACAAGGTAGGACGGCTAGTGACAAGCTAGGATGGCTAGGAGACAAGGTAGGACGGCTAGTGACAAGCTAGGACGGCTAGGAGACAAGGTAGGACGGCTAGTGACAAGCTAGGACGGCTAGGAGACAAGCTAGGACGGCTAGTGACAAGCTAGGACGGCTTGTTCTTCCAATACAGAAATTAGGCACCATGTGTGAATAGATAAAGCCTTCTAGAAATAAGGTTTTTAGGCCCCCTTGCAGCTCCCTAACTGAATTCAAGCCTTCAAATTCGTCCATCCTCATGCCTCCATGCTTGCACTATCCAATCTTGGCCCAAAAATGCTCTAGAATGCTCCAAATTGCTTCTTTTTGCATACTTTGACACTAAAACCTGAAATTGCACGAAAATGACTTTAAACACTAAACTAACTAAGGAAAAACAACATAAATGCATGAGAACAAGCCAATTAAGTCACATAAAAATGCTCCTATCATTATACTCTAGACAAGTGATGGAATCAGATGAGCCCGAGCTTTCAGCAGTTGGGCAAGAGAGTGAAGATCAGTCGTGGGTGACGTCCACGCACATGTCCAATGGCCTTAGCCCAAAGACTAGAGCCATGTCTAGGTCTGTAAGAGATATGAGACCTATCCTAAAGTCGAATGTGTTAGTCTCATTGTTCTAGAAAAGGAAAGCCGTGGTTAGGAGCTCGGGTTTGGCTATAACTGTGACCTTAGAGAGCATGATGAACTCATAGATTCTATTGGCCATCCACTTCTGTTACCAGATGGGCTTGAGCTCGTCCACCCACTGCGACCAAGCTTCATCCATCATCAGTGGGAAGCCCCTTCGAAAATTGGCTATTTTGGAGGCCGAAATGCCAGCCTCGGCAAAGTAGGAGCTGAGAGTGAACCAATTAGCAGCATGCATGTTATTTTCCACTAGGATAGGAACTAGAGCAGTTTAGGCTGGCCCCAGAAAGTGGACACCTCATTCCTTGAAGAATATGGAGAGGTTCAGGCAATCCCAAATGCGATGAAGGCCGTTGAGTCGGCGACGTAGGTTGATGATCCTTTCACCAGACTCGCATGTAGGGCGAAGTTTAGGTGCCATTAATTGATTATTTTTTAAGAAGAAAAGGAAAGAGATTGATAGTAGATAGCAAGAAAAAACTGGGAAGGCAAGGAAATTCTGGAAACTCAGAGAATAAGGATTGCTAGAAGTATTGACTGAGAAATTTAAATGGAGGTTATTTAACAAGCAGTTAGTTAACGTTAGAGATCATGAGTTAGTGCAAGGGTTTATTCAAAAACAATTGTTTAAATGGTGCAAGTCCCAAGTTAAAACATGCGGCTAGTATTTAATCATTATTAATGTCTCAATTAACAGACTTAACAATGATTAAAGGGGGCACTGTTTGGGTTAATATTTAACATTAGGCTTTATGATAAGGATGAGCAAGGATGCTAAAGCAAATGAAGACTTGCCCGAAGCCCAGTCGACAAGCCTAAAATGAATTAAAGTCATTTCAGTTAAAGTATACGCCATGTGCCTATGATTGAAGTGATGGTTGACAGAGATCAACTCACCACCAACCAAAACGCACTTTCTGATGGCATAAGGAAGTAAATAAGAGATGACTCACTGCCCTCCGAAAGTCATCGGCCAAGAGTAAAACCAAAAGAGTCGAGCCAACTTGCCTATAAAAAGAGAAATAAATACTATAGACAAGGACACTCAATCAATCAATCAAAAGACATACAAACTTTTCTCTCAAGCCAGTTCATACCCAGAAAGCTGAAACTTGTCCAGATTCAATCCTTTTAGTTATAGTTCCCTTAGGAAAAGCTATATTTTGTCTAGTATAGAAGCTTTGCTACCTTCCCTTAGTGTTGTGGTATTGATTCCCTCGCGTAAAACCTATTTACTCTCCATTCTTTTTAGCATACAACCATCTGTAAACCCAAAGAAAAGAGGTTGCAAAAAGTTCAACCTTACCCGACAAGGTGAAATCTTGCCTGAGTCTCTTTGTTTGTACTTTTATTTAGTAGATATGTTGCTTAATGTACTTTTCAGCATGTATTCAAGATGTTTCCAACTGTTTTCTACTTAAGAGTTCCATTTGCATTCGAAGCTAGTTAAATTAATGAACATGTTTTCATTAAAAGTAAACTATGATCGAGGAAGTGGTTGAAAGGGCCCTGAACTCCCTTTGTTTTGGACGTACAAGATTATGAACTAAAAATCCTTGTTTACAAGGCAAGAAAAAGAACTTAATGCAGACTTAACTCATCTGTGACATTCATTTGATAACAAGAAGTTTAAGTAACTTAGGGCACAAGTAATTAACTTAAATCACACCTATCTAACAATCTTTTATACTAAGATAACAATGGCATGCTCAAACCCTTATTAGTTTTGATTACGAGCCTCAAGGCAGACACTAAAGGCCCCACAAAGGCACATTTCAAACAAAATACTAACTTAACCTGCAATACACGAAGCAGTAAGAACTCGCCCGACAACATACAAAGTGCCATACCCCTGGGGAGCTATGCGAGGGAAATCTTGCCCGAACATCTTCATTCTCTAAAATGCTCTCCACCTCAAAAGCAAACATAAGTCTTTCTCTCGCGACAATACATTCGACAACTCGAGGAGAAAGTAGTTCGGCTTTTGTTACAAATAAGCTACTTTTCACCATTCTTGCCAATAGTGGTTGCTAAGTAGCATGAGCACCAACCCCATTGAGCCTATTCACCATCTGTAAATTTCTCTCATAGTTGTTGTGCATGCACAACAATTTCCCACTGATGACGAGTTTTATTTTCGAAGACTATACCATTTCTATCATTCCTTCTAAACCTAACATTCATGTCGTGTGTTTTTGTGACATATCCGATATCTTAATGGGTTGTGTCGTATAACACATGTTAAGGTAAACAGATAATATGACCCGACCTGAAACCGACCCGTTAATGTTATCAGGTAATATGACCCAACTCATTACCCGTTAAAAAATATATTTTAAATCAATAAATAATGAAAATGATAAACATAATTTGACCAAAAAAAAATGGAAAATATAATACTAAATTAGTATATGCATAGCATATTGTCACATAAATATTAGTTTAGAACATAAAAATTAAAAAAAATAATAATAATAATTTGCCTATCAAGTATTACATACCCCAAAGTAAGAGCCTAATTAATAGGAAAACTAACGAAAAGTCCAAAAAAAATTTCTCTTTTAATGAAAAGCCCTTTTAAAGGTATAGTGAATAGTACCAGGGAAATGTATAAATGTGGTTTTTCGTTAAAAGTGAATAGCACCAGGAGTGTTTTGTGAAACCTCCCTACATTATATAGGAAGTACCATGTCTAGGATATGCAAAACAAAAAGAGTTACGTTTCAAAGTTGAGGATGGAATCACGAGCGTTTATATATGCTTTCATATTTTTCAGACTTGTACATTAATGATTATGAATTTTATTTATTTTAAACTCCTTAAAAATACTATTCATGAGGGTTTGTATGATTCTAAAAGTTCAAACAATGATATACCCATCCTCAAAGCGTAGATGATGCGATCACGAGCATTCGCCAATTTTTTTTTTACATTTTTCACACTTGTAAATTAATTATTATAATTTTTTAATGTGTTTTGGTATTTTTAAATTACTTGATATTTTTACTTCTAATGTGTTTTATAATTTTTTAATCTCACTCTTTGCCTATAATATATTATAAAAATAAATAAATAAACTTAAATTTATTAAATTTATATAGAATAATAATACAATAATACATATTTAATATACAATATATACAGATACAAAATGACTATTATATTTTATAATAAGTTTTTTTAGTAGTTTAAAAATTTAAAATCATCAAATTAACATTTTTTAACGTATTGAAATAGGTTACCTAAGTGTCATTATTGTGTAAACTTGTTAAGAACCGTTATTAACGGTTTCTTATCATGTAACCTAATAATGACCCAATTCGTTATCATGTCGATCCAAAATCCGTTACTTTCGTTTTATTTACGTGTCGTGTTAATAGGTTATGTAAGAAATTATCAGATCTAATTCAACGATAATTGTAATTGATGAGCGGCCACGTGATCTAATGCTAACCCTCACGTGATCCCAATTTCACATAAACACGTCCCACTGTCCGAACGAACCCTCTAGAAGAGAACCAGAACCACAATTGCAAACAGCCACTTCCTGTCTCCCCTTTCCTCAATATTTATAGCCCACCCCCCGCCTCCGGCCACCGTATAAGCTTCCTCCCTCCGCCCATTAATTCACAACCACAGCAGAATCGAAGACAGCCATGGCGGAGCACTTGGCTTCGATATTCGGGACGGAGAAGGACCGAGTGAACTGCCCTTTCTACTTCAAAATTGGGGCTTGCAGGCACGGCGACCGCTGTTCCAGACTCCACACTAAGCCCAGCGTCAGCCCCACGCTCCTGCTCTCCAACATGTACCAGCGGCCCGATATGATCACCCCCGGCGTCGACGCCCAGGGCCAGCCCATCGACCCCCGCCAGATGCAGAGGCACTTTGAGGTCTCCCTCAACCTTCTTTTTCTTCTTCTTTGTATTGAAAATTGAAAACCCTTTTGCCGGATTTGCTTTAATGTGGTGTTGTTTTGTGCAACTAAACCCATGATTCAACGGAAACCGAATTGAATTTGTGCTGTTTTTATTTGATTTGCTTTATCATTTAATTATGTGCTGTTTCTCTGAATTAGGGTTTTTTGTTATCCATATTAGAGTCTCTGCAATTCCCCCATTTGTGAACTTACCTGAATTGCTGTGATTAAAAATTGAATCGTTAATACTATTCAACAAAAAGTCGGAAACGAAATTGAAGATTTTATCTCTTGCTAGTATTTTTAGTTGGAGAGGAGACAAAGTAGAGTTGAATAAAATTACGAAATCGGTTGTAGGGTGCGTTCGGTACAAAATAAACTTTTGTACGATCTTTTGTTACCTTAAAGCCCTTAATGCACAGCTGTGAAATAGTTGAAAACCTTTAGCGTTTGTGCAAATCCATTTGTATTCTGTATGTGATACGCCCAACAATTAAAATTTTGATGTATGGGAACTGCAGGAGTTTTATGAGGATCTATTTCAGGAGTTGAGTAAGTATGGCGACATTGAAAGTCTGAATGTCTGTGACAACCTAGCCGACCACATGGTATGTTATATTGAACGGAGAGTTAAGCTCTTGTTCAGTTTTCCTCTTTTTATTTTTTGTTTCAACAGAAAGATTATTGATATTTGGTTCTACCGGGAAATTTATCGATTTGGGCAGGTGGGCAATGTGTACGTTCAGTTTAGGGAGGAAGATCATGCTGCAAATGCGCTTCGGAACCTGAGTGGAAGATTTTATGCTGGTTAGTGTGTTCTCTGTATCTTTCATCTTTAGAATTTGGTCTCAAGGTTTCTACTAGGTATCGTTTATATCTCCATTTAGGCCTAAATTATATGGTTATTATATGCTGAACTTCTGTCCCATCGTAAATCATTTGCAGGTCGTCCTATCATTGTTGACTATTCACCAGTGACAGACTTCCGTGAAGCCACCTGCAGGCAATATGAGGAGAATACATGCAACCGTGGTGGATACTGCAATTTTATGCACCTGAAAAGGATTGGCAGGTAAGCTTTACTTGATGATCTTTACTTATTGCAGAATTTACTGATAAATTAAATTTACTCATAATTTCTTTGTTTGTTTGTTTGTTTGTTTGTTGTTTTGTTTTTTTTTTTTTTTTTTTTTTTTTTTTTTTTGAACAAAGGATAGTATGTGCACTAAGACCATCTCCAACCCTTGGGGATAAAGCTTTAAAATTTAAGCCAGAAAAATTTTAGCCATAACCTAAAGACTGCTTTTCTCCTCTAACGGTTATGGCTTAAAATTTTTGCCCAAGATTATTAAATAATGATTTTAGCCTTTTTTTTTTTTCTCGGTAACTTTTATGAAAATAAAATTTATGTAACTTATCTGAATTTATTTTTATGAACATTTTAATTTAATAATATTTAAATTCTGATAAGTAATTAAAAATCATACAAATAGTAGGTATTTATAAAGTCTTAAGTTAAATTTGATTTAAATAATTTTCTTACATTATTTTAGATGTTAGATTTAATTTTGGGCCATCAAATCTCTTTTTTACTATTAGATTTGATCATAGCCGTTAGATTATAAGTAAAAAAAAAAAAAAAAAAAAAGTTTGAAATATGACAGTTTGGTGGGTCCAGAATAATTTAAGCTGGGAATTTAGCCCAGAGATATATTTTTTCCCCAAGGCTTATTTTAGCCCAATGGTTGGAAATGGATTGGAGGGGTTTTAAAGCTTATAAACTTACAATGTCAGGGAATTGAGGCGTGAACTATTCAGGAGCCATCGGAGAAGGCACAGCCGCAGTCGAAGCAGGAGTCGCAGCCCTTACAGGCATCGTAGTTATGAAGAACACTCTCATGGGAGCCGTGCTTATAGCAGAAGGTATGATGATGATGATCGTTATCCTGAAAGCTGGAGCCGGAGGAACAAGACTCTAAGCCCTGGTCGAAAGAGAGGACGCAGTAGAAGTAGAAGCCCTGGAAGAAGAAGAAACCACAGTCCAGTTAGAGAAGGAAGTGAGGAGAGACGGGCCAAAATTGAGCAGTGGAATATGGAAAAAGAACAGAATGAAAATGCTAGTAAGGTCAACACTGACAGAAGCAACAATGATGGGCATGCACATATGGAAAATCAGTACAATGGCCATGAGTAAGAGCAGCAATAGCAACTTCCAGAGAAATGAGGGTATGACTACTGATATTATAAAGCTTTTGTCTGGTTTTTCCTCACTCTCTCTCTGTAAATATACATATATGTAGACGCGCGCACACATACAGAGATACTCTCTCTCTCTCTCCACCACCCCCCCCCCCCACCTCCCCTCCCCCCCCGGCCCCCAATGCGTACACACATGCATACATATCAACATAAATTATGCGTGCTCAATCACAAAAGAAATTTATGTTTCAACAGTAAGCATTTGTTCAATAAATATAGCTTACAGCACATTTTCCAATGTGCAGGTGGTGTGCAGGTTCACACTTTTGTGATGTGGAATTGATATGACTTTTTTAATCTAATTCATATGTATGACTGCGTGCTTCCTGCATGATATACCTGAATATATCTTTCCCCTAATGCCCTAGTTCTCTATTAGCTTCCGGAAATTTTAAAAACAATAACAACAAAGCCTTGTCTCTTCGGCTGTATGAATGCTAGAACGCTGTTTGAACTGGATATTTTGAAACAAAAAAAAAAAAAAAAGGCTGATCTAACTTAGTTTAATCAAATAGGCATTTTTTTATTTCCGTGTAAACCAATCCCTAGTTGATATATTACAGACGTGTGAAATTGGTTTGCTTGTATTCATGCATTCATAATTTACAGTCAGGTTCTGTGACAATCACAAATCAAGAGTAGTGAAAGATCGAATGTCATGGTTCTGTCTTGGGTTTTGTATTCTTCTCCCTTTGTAGCTTTGTTTATTTTTCTGTTTCAGTTTACGGAATGAAAAAAGTCATGATCTTACATTCTTGATAAGTTTTGCAGGTTCAGGTTTCCCTGCTTCTATGGTCCGAGCCTTTTTCTTTTCATTGCAGCTTACCATGGAATTTGTGTACAGGTTTGCTCGTGCAGTGTTTCAGGATTCAGGAGAGTCTGATTATTCGATGTTTCAGGTTTCGATCCAGGAGTATGAAAGTATCTTCGTGTTCCATCGTTCGAACGAATGTTGCAGGTTATTACTGTTGGTAGTAGTAGTAGTCTAATTGTGGTGCAGGTTGAGTGTGGCAAACAAAATCTCTCATGTTGTTGAACCAGTTGGTTTACATTTTTGAATGTTCAAGGATTATCATTTGACGTTTTTAGTTGGCATGATCATATTATGGTCTCTCTTTTAATGATAGACTATGCTTCTCCAACATTACGTCTCATTTCATATATATTTTGGTGAATTTTAAAGCATTAAGTTTTTGTCCAGTGTGATGCTATCTACATCCCATTTTACTTTTCACACTTCTCTTAATTTTTAGTTGTTAGATTAAATGAATTGAAGATGATCAAATAACAAAAATTAACATAAGAGAAACGTAAAAATTGTATATATTAGCTACCATGGTGGATGGAGGACCTTGCTAATCCGAGGCTTTAAGGGCGCATTTGGTGTGATATCATCTAAGGGTGAACAGACCAAGACCGCCATAACCTTACCTGATTAAGATTCATGCAAGCAACCAATCACTCTTTTTCCATCATTTTTTCGTCTTTTAATAAGAAATCTTCATCCCATCAGCTAAATTTAATCCCCAATTTGCTTGCTAAAAGGGGTCAATTTGGGGCAGACGTCCAATTTTGTTATGCAGTTACAGTCACAGTAAAACCCTTTAAGTAATACTCTGTAAAGTAATGACCTAAGTTATAAAATAATTTTGATCTTAACTTGAGACCAGTTATATATATAATAAAAATAAACTCCACTTTGAGTTATAACATTTCTTGGTTTCATATCAAAGAAATGCACATTCAAACAGTAATATTTGTCAACGATACAAAAAATATGCCATATCACTCGTAAAATAATTTCGGTCCTAATGTAAGACCAATTTTGTATGGAAATAAACTCCATATTAAAGAAACACACACATTCATATAGTAATATTTGTCAATGATACAACAGTTTTATTAAGTACTAACCTCTTTAAAGTTAAAATTGTTTAGTCCCAACTTTATGACTTTATAGAGGTTTTACTGTACTTAGAATGTTTCAAATGGTTAAGACCAATTCGAAATCATTCCTAAATCCTAATAATTAGGTAATTATCCATACGTAATCACTGCATTTGCTACGTGGGAAAGGATTCAAAGGGATTAATGTATATTCATTTCCTCGCAATCTTTTTTCTACACTTTTATACGATGAACAAAGAAGGTAAGCAGTTGGAAAAGGTTGGTAGCATTTCTTACTCTAAAGCCTGCTCAATTAGTGCACTTCATGCTTAATAATGCGGATAAAATTGTCTTTTTATGCATCTCTCTATTACTATAAACTTCGGATATAGGGAGAAAAAAGGCACCCGCTAGTGTGTTGATATTAGGGTGTTCATTACCTAGAACCCATTTCACGCACCAAACCGGCACGTTAATGAAAGATCCGGCCGCCGTAGTTGGCAAGTTGCGGTGTTCCGGCTAACCATACCCTACACCACGTTCATGCCAATCTTGATTATGTTAGGATTGAAGCTGTGAGATTATATTATGGTAAAATACCAATTTGTTACCGCCTACGAGACATTATCGCAGCTCTAATAAGAATAATATATAAGATTTAAACCGCATTATTTAGATAAGAAAAATGATATCCAAACACTCTCGCCAACCAACCACTCTCTAGTTGTCGAACTGAATAAATCAACTTCTGACTATCAAATTGAATAAATCAAACAAAAAACAAACATCACGAGTGTGTAGTGAGATTAGGAGATTCAAAACATATTACGCCTAACTTCAGATTCATGAGCAATATCCAATACAAAGGGACCTAAAACCACGAGGACACGCCGACGATCTCAAAAACCACGAGGACAACCACTACGCCCAACCCTCTGTAATCTCAATTATCAAAAATATTACATATCATAGACATGTCACGCTTCCGTACATCCCTCTCGTTCTACTTAGCGCTGTGCTTGGCCTTCTTGTGAGACGAAAGAGCACCATCGGAGTTAAATGACCTGCGAACAGCAAAACACCACATGAAAACCAGCAACAAAATACGATAAGACACCTGATAGTAAAGAAAAAAAACAGTTTTTCAACGTACTTGTTGCATGGCTTGCAAGAGTGATCACCGCCAGCAGACTTGGGTGTTTGTGGCTTGGACTTGTCAGAGGTAGCAGGCGTCTTTCCTCCCTTTGCAGGGTGTGGTGTAGCAGTGTGGGCACCCTTCTTTCCATCTGTAACAGAAGCAACCAATTGCGCTAAGTAAATGAGATAAATTTATAGAATTAGGAATTTATTTTGCATGTTGAGTTTCCCCCAAACGTTATACATTTACATCACATGTTGACACGCAAGATAAATTCCTAATTCGATTACTAAAGCTAGAAAACAGGAAGAATCATTCGCGGAAATATTATACTAAATAATGCTTTTCTGTGTGAGAGAGGAAAGGTACCAGTCTTCTGTGGAGTAACTTGCTTTGCCTTCTTAGCAGAGACGGGAGTTTTCGGAGCAGATTCATTGGGCCTTTTCTTGGAGTTCTAGATAAATTATCAAATTATGAACAATTAGAACTCGCATAAATAGTAAGTTAAAAATCCGGAAGCAAAAGGCAAACAAACGGGAACCAAATGAATTCATTTGATTACCTTCTTAGGAGTTGGGGTCTCCTCTTCTTCCTCACTGTCGTCATCATCTTCATCACTGCTATCAGCTCCAAGCATGTCCTACAATAGGAAACGCAAATTTTGAAAGTTATTTATTAGATACAAGCAAGAAACCGGTTTGACCCAAGAACCTCCAACAACAAACAAGTTGAAGCACAGCCCACGAACAAATTTTCTGAACTAAAAGAGTTAAAAAAACTAAAGCTCAAACTAATTTTAGACATTGGCTAAAAACACAGCAGTTGAAATAAGTTGACTTGTGGATGACACAAAAAGGCCAAAGGGGATGTCAAAAGACATCGTCAATGTGCAAAAAGTTCATAATCTGTATACTTTTTGGGACAATTCAGAACAAATTTCAATTATAATTATTAAAAGAACAGCCATATTCTTATGAAACCCTTTTGGTTACCTCATCAGAACTTCTATCGTCATCATCGTCATCAGAATCATCAACATCATCTGAGTCATCAGAATCATCCTCATCCTTAATTGGCTCTACAATATTAACCTTCTGCTTTCCAGAAGATTCTGGTTTGACAGCATTAGTCTTGGGTGGAGCTGGCTTTGCTGCAACAACTTTACCTGCGCACAATCCAAACACTGGTAAGAATGAATTCAACTTACGACACATTCCTGCACGAAAATTAAGATAAGTCCAAGTGCAGCATTTACCATTGTCGGTAAAATTCAGTGGGAGATCCTCTTCTGAATCTGTGAATACTACATACATGGAAAATTGTAACCATATGAGCGAAGGTTGAATAATAAATTCATGATAAACAGAAAACAGAAAACAGAAAGGTAAAATATAATAGAACTTACCAGAATGGTCCTCCTCATCCGATTCAGTGGCACCATAACAGAGCAAGTAGTCAAGGAAGCAATGGAGAAACACTAAATATTGCAATATTAATCAACACTAAATTACAAAATCAGCATTATATTAGTTTTCATGCAATTTAAAACCCCAGTTCACAAAAACTTGTTTTCCTAAAAAGATAACTAGCATGGAGGAAAAAATATAATAATGAACTTGTATATTTTTCATCCCAAAAGCAATAGGTACAACTGCCGACAGTTTTGAATACCTCTCTACAACAGTCAACACAAAAACTTGATAAAATTACAATAAACTTAATTTTGGAAAAACAATGCAACAATATGGTATTATGAGCCAATTAACTTGTTCCCAATTTCAGGGTGCTCAACCCAACCCAGTCCAACAATACTACACCCGCTGAGGTACGAAAAAAATCAAAGACCCAACTAAAGGTTATCCTAAGAGGGTAACCAACAACAGAAAAAAAAAATAGCAGTAGAGAAACAAACAACTAACACAGCATTTAAGATGAGACTCCACCATATCTTAACAAGTTTAAGGCACTTAGAAAGTAAGTGTAAATATCATCATCCAACAATCAAGTCAGCATAAACACAAACGATTAAAAGGATATTCTGCGAGGCAAGTTTGATAACCACAGAAGTGGACACTCCCACTTTTCAAGTTGTGCGAGAGCTCGAACTCTTTGTCAAAGACCAAGTCAAAGGGAATCTGAGGCATTTTATCAGATGAGAGATTTGCCAAAACAAGCTTTTGGTTCCCAACCTTGACATGGATAACACACTGATCACCTCCCTTTTTCAACTCGCCCAGAGTTGCCTAGAGAACAAGAAACTATTAATAAACTTGCGAACACATGCCATGTACCGTGATTACAAAGAAAAATTAGTAGACAAATCAATTAACCTGTGACAAGTGGATAACAGAGCTTTCCTCTGGCACTACTTTTAGAGGCTCTCCAGCCTTCACTTCAACACCTAAACCAACGAAAACGGGATCGTTATTCAGAGTACAACAATCATTAAGAGCATAACATCTGCAAACCCAAAATATCCAGACACATTTCATTGCAGACCCATAAAAAGCAGAATAACCTCCATTGTCCTTTTAAATCCACATTTTTACTACAAAACCAAGGAAAGGAAACCGTGCAGACTGCCGTTTAAGAGACCGTAAACCCGAAATACTGGCTGAAAATCATCAACTCAAAAACTAGCAAAATGATCACACCGATTTCTAAACAGAAACAACACAAACAACTTCAGACCCATACAAGGAACACAAACATTTTAGCAACAACAACAATCTCCAGCGTGCAGAAGCACATCCAAAAATTTATTGGTACCGAAAAGCGTAGCAATAAAACACAACCAGTAAAGAAAAAAAAAATACAAAATACCAAAACACAGAAAGCATATTTTCTCAGAAGAGAAGCGCAAATCATAACAGCAGGTAACCCTAGACACCGAAATCATGCGAAACGAGTAATAAAAGAGATGTAGGAAGAGTCGGCTCACCCCAAAACTCCATTGAAGACCTGAGAGAGAGTGAGAGAAAAGGGGGCTAGGGTTTTGGGTTAGGGTTTTTGAGAGAGCGCGATTGAAGAGGCGAAAGAGGGTTTAAGGGGCATTTTATAAGGGAATTGCCGCCAGGTTTCGTGCTAGGTTTTTTGAAGACTTCTTCTCATCGAAGTTTGGGCCTGGGCTTTGGTTTAAAGCGGGCCGAAGCCCAAATCAGAAAGAGTAATTAAATAAAATCTAATTACGGAGTCTCCGGATTTGAAAAGGATCTTATGTGGTTCTAATAGGAAATTAATCCGAATTATGTTGCAAAGGAGAGAGATTTTTGCACAACGGAGATAAGATTTTCAAAATCCAGTTTAAAGATGCTCATTAACGAAGGGATCCCCGATCACTCAACTAAATTTCAAATGTATATCTCAGAAGATTTCTAAATGATTCCAAATCTCATTTCTTTTTTATCTATTTTTCACTTTATGATTGTCATTTTTTTTTTCTTTATGTCATTGTTATTTAGTTTTCTTCACCATTCATGGCAAAGAAAACAACTTGTTTCACACTTGATCCGCAGTCGTTTACTTTTTCGACCAATATTTCATTTATTTAAATATTGAGGGAGAAAGTGAACTTGAGTGTATTTGAGGAAATTACTGAAAATCTTCAATGTAACTCATTAATATGCATTGAGAAAATTTTAATTAATAAATTCCTTTTTAGTTAGCATCTTTAATAGATTGTATTCAATATGTGTTTGTAATTGTTCATCTTGATTTTCATTTAGTCTTTAGTTATAAGTCTCGTCTCTGATTACTTAGTTAACACAACTTAATGAGAATATCTCGTGGACTATATGAATAATATCCATGTGCATTCATTTAGGAATACAATTAATGACTGAATTATTTTTGTTAACGCGTGGTCCTTTTAGACCCCTATAATAATACAGGCCTAAGAAGGCCCAACGAAGGAGAAGAAGACCAAGTCATTAAGCTTATAGCTAGCCATTAGAACCAAGGGAAGGAGGCTAGACCGCTATAGGCGACCGCTTACTGGTCTTGATTGACTATCAGTAAAGAAGCCCAACACCTATCAAGAAACTACTTTCCAACCGCTTGAAGAAAGTTGGCAAATTGACAACTTTATAGCATGAAACCCTAGAGACAGGCCTACTCTGACATCGAATTTGGGATGTGTGTTGGCCATCAGCGAGAATAGAAGCCTATGAAAGGACATAAAGGTTGTCAGACAAAACGCTCGAGTCGGTGTCTCTTCAGCTCCTCAGGACCGAGCAAAGTGCCCGATACACGTTTGCCCAGAAAAGTTTGCAACTAGCCCCTGAGTAGGTGTCACTTCGCCTTCACATGTCGACTGAGTAAGGAAGGACTAGCCAACAAGGCAAGGCTAGACATCTAGTTCATTTAATTATACAAGAGTGAAATACTGGAGAGTCCAGGACTTTTGGGGCTTATTGGAGGCCTATATAAGATGGACGATTTCCTTTTATAAGGGGTCAAACCAAGAAAGAAGAGGAAATATTACACTATTACCTAGTACTTCTTTGTAACTCATATACAAAGCACTACAATGTTTGTAGCTCAACTTTAAGGGTGAACTACTTAGACCTTGTTGTCCATCACTTTAAAGTCTTTAGTCCAAGGGTTAATTGAATTGGTCTTTTTTGACCTTTCAATTTTGAGCATTAACAAAATGCTGCCATATTTGAGAAGCACGTCTCGTGGTGAGTAGACATATACACTCTTAATATCATGACATGCAGAAGAATGAAAGAGAGAGCTTTGTCCAATGGCCTCAAAGGAACTAACAGACGGAGAAAACGAGAAGATGAGATCAAGGTGATGGCCAAGCATTTTGTGGGATCACTCATCTCATTGAAGCATCGTCGACACCAGATACAAGGGATAAAAAAAAGCCAATAACATCCCAAATTGATGGGAGAATTAGAAACAGTTGTATTATTAGAGGAATGGTACACATCTAGTTCTTTTAATGCTAAGGCGATGAAGTACTTGAAAGCCTAGGACTTTTGGGTTTCATTAGAAGCATTAATAAGTGTGAGATCAAATCGTTTAGTTAATATAGGAATTTATGACTTTTTTTATTTTAGGCTATTTTTAGAAGAAATCAGTTTTGATATTGCCTAGAAATTACGCGTTGAATTCCCTACAAATAACAAAGTCTCATTGTTCTCTCTTCACCTTTTGCATAAACCCTAATACGCACTATTTCATCTTAGAGAAAACGGAGAGGCTTAAGGTTTGCTAGGTTTTGAAAGCAACTTTATGAAAGCTTTAGAAACCTTGAATTCACATTCATATATTATCATTCTTCGTGACCAAGTTGTGTGCATCTATTTGCTCATGAGGTGGACGTTGTGTGTGACGTGATCATCCGAATGAGTGCAAAGGAAGGAGTACTGCACAACAAAAGTATTTGGTAAAGCTTCAAGTCTAGTAAGTATTTTGTCAAGTTGAGTCTTGTAAAAGTCTTATTCTTTAGTGGATTCTTTGATTTGTTGTGTGCCTTCTATTGTGTGCATTGTGCAGGGTGTTGGAAATGTTGGCGATAATTAATATCAGTATATCATATTTTTATCACCACAATTTATTAAATAAAATAAACCAAATAAGATAAAATACTTATCTTTTGTAGGTAGAGAACGCTATTCGTCGATCCTTGATTAGACCAAGATTTTAGGTTGAGGCGTGTAGTCACTATCCTTAAGAGTAGATTTCGCCCCTCTAAGGTAATGTCTCGGTGTAGCAGGTTATGGTGCCCTACCCTCCATGATACAACAACCTATGATCCCTGTAAGTGTACACTCATAATACATGGATCAAGTGAACAACTCGCTTCTTTCCTTTGGTATGGAGGGAGTGAAGAATATAATAATGTTTTCAAGAATGGTGAATCAAAAAGATAGAAAAGAAAAGAAGAGGAGATGATTGTCTTTTTATCCATTTTTCCAACAAAGAGATAACCAAGTATATAATAGAACTATCCCAAAGAGACGTTGGTCAATAAAGGAGAATTAATTCAAAGAGTATTATTATACTATAAAAGTGTAACGTTATTACCCCCAATGTTAGAATATAATGGAAGTATCAGTTTTTATTTTGGAAAGAAAACTGACATCAGTACATGGTAAGCTGCATAAGACCAATTGGCTAACTAACAATATTAGACTTAGTAGTATAATACCAACGTCCCAATTATTGAGAATAATGGCAACATTATTGGCTAGAATTTTAATTCAATAAATAAATGGATTTGAAGAAAAATGAATTGTCATAATGAGTATTGGTTTGTATTTTGAAATACCCTATAAAATTCTAACAATCCCCCATATATTTTAAAATACAAATCAAACCACTAAGAGGAATTTGAGTAACACAAGTTTAAAGAGGACAAGGAAATACCAAAGGAAAGTGAGAATCGAACGCATTAGAACTAGTGTCTTTTGGACTATGAACTAGCCTTAGGACGAGCTAGTCTTAACTCACAGAAATTTGGTGAATATTAAATTTTCTATGAACCAATATTTCTTTGCATGAATCATGGGATTGACCATCCACATTGAATCCTCGGAATTGATCATGTTCTAGCAGGTTGGCGCGAATAGGCCATGCGTCCACCTGGATACTCATAGGTGCTCTAGAGAACCTACCTAAGCTCATAAGGAGCAGCCCCACTCCCACACTCAAATAGGTGAATCCATCAAGTATGCACTGCAGTCAAGCACACCATCTATATATAGGCTATAGTATTCATTAAGAACATAAGTTCAACCTCACACATTGCAGTAGTTGCACTATCTACACCATAGAGATAGACGTTCAACAAAGTTATTGACATAAATTGATAATGCATGCCTAATCAACAAGTGACTTGTTCTTACCCATATGAACTTACTTCATGGGATCTCCATTCACATAGGTTGGGTTACCATCACTCTTGATTGATGTTATAGGCAGGTCGAGAGTTCGGATACGATCGACAACGTCAAGGCCAAGATCCAGGATAAGGAGGGTATTCCTCCGGATCAGCAGAGGCTTATCTTCGCCGGCAAGCAATTGGAAGATGGCCGAACCCTGGCAGATTACAATATCCAGAAGGAATCGACTCTTCATCTTGTCCTCCGTCTCCGAGGAGGTATGCAGATCTTCGTCAAAACCCTAACCGGGAAGACGATTACTCTGGAAGTCGAGAGCTCGGACACTATTGACAACGTCAAGGCCAAGATCCAAGATAAGGAGGGAATTCCCCCGGACCAGCAAAGGCTGATCTTTGCCGGAAAGCAGTTGGAGGATGGCCTAGCCGATTATAATATTCAGAAAGAGTCGACTCTCTACTTGGTTCTGCGATTGAGAGGAGGTATGCAGATTTTTGTCAAAACCCTAACAGGAAAGACAATTACTCTCGAGGTCGAGAGCTCTGATACCATATTAACAGTAGTGTAGAGAAGCACAGAAATGCAGAAAGAGAATAAGAGAGAGAGAGAAAGTAATTGATTACATTGATACTGAATTAATCTTTACAATTATGAGAATACAGTTTATATAGCCATCATGACTAACTTGCAGCCTAAGCTATTTAACTAACTAATTTTGGTAACAACTCTAACAACCTTTGGATATTGTCAACACAAGTATCATCCCCCTTGATGTAACAATCATCACTAGCATTTAGCTTAGTGGATTTGTTAGATGATATCCTAGATCCAATTCTGACCTCAAAATAATTATATCAAATACATATGCATAAGTCATTCAGCTTATGCTCTTATAGCTATGATATCACAGATGATGAACCGGTTTATCCCTTCCATAAATAGTGGGATATCTCAAACCAAATAAATTGGTCTATTCCACAAAGGGATATAACAATATTAGACTCCAACAAAGTTGGTCCCTTCCATATAAAATGGGATATAACAAAGAGGTTATTAAGCCTCAAACAAATATCTTTTCCAACGATTATCAACTCATGTTCCAATCCAAAGTGAACCTGCCTATCTATTTAAGATATCTCTCCCAAGCATGACATCTCAACATAATATGGCAATTACATGTATAACATCACCATAAGCTGTTTAATAAAAATTACCATCCATTTCTAATTAATATAAACTATACAGTACCTCAAAATATTTAGCATTCAAAATATGCCTCTGCAATGGTCGATGAGAACTTTTCGGTACACCTGTCTAAATCCTTTACATCTCACCAACTGAGTGCTAGTATCATAGTGGCCACACTTAATTTTCATACCCAACTTGGTGAGAACAAAATTAGTTTCTAACGTATTCAAGATGAATCTAATGCCATGAACAAAATTTCAAGTATGTCAAAATTTATCCAGTATATCAGGTTCTCCTCCAACCCCCACAATTTTGAATGATATCCAGAAATTTACTACATCCAAAAGATGCATAGCAAAGCTCATTTATAATATTCATAATCACACGGTCAAAGCAACTAATTAATTCCTCCAAGCAAAATTGAGATGAAGAGACCCCCACAGTTTAAAGATGCTATAAAATTTATATGTCAATATTGTTTCTTAATTAAATTGTATTGACATTGTGGAAAACAATATGGCAGCCATAAAGATCAGTGAAGAAATGCGAATTAATCAATTTAAAATGTAACATGTCTTATTCTCTTAGCCGCATTACTAGAAAATAAGAAAGAAGGAAGATTCAAATTAATTATATCATATGCGGTAAATAAATTTGTATTTCCCTTAAATAATTGAAAATCTCAAACAGGTTTAGGCCACTTAATTAGCCTCAACTCTTCAACCTGCATGTCGCACATCAGTCATTAATCAAGACTACCTCTTACGTATTTTATACCCAGAATATAACTTTTCCAATGCCTTATGCTGAGATGTACCCCAACAAGTTGAAGAAATAAAAATAATAATTTGCAAGTATTAAACAGATATCTCATAAATATTATAGCATGTTAACCATAAACACCCCACAAATTCATAGTAATGAAATAACATTAGAATATAATCTCATGTCATAACATGTTGTAATTCTCATTCAATACATACTCACAAAATATATGAATATAATATTCACTTGAAAAATAATATTAATTAATATACTTAATTGGCATGAACTAATTAAAAATTTGTAACCCCCACATTAAATCTCTTTAACCAAAATATTAAGCACTAATTAAGATGACATTTGCATTTTGAACAACTGTAACAAGCATCCAAATTTTCAAAATATTGAACAGAACCTATAATTTTTCAATAGCTCATAAATTACCTTTACGAAGTAGAATGAGTTTGTCTACTTTAAAAAAATAAAAAAAATAAAAACTTTTGATCCCAAGTTCGTTTAACCATGAGTAAAGTTAAAGACTGGAAAAAGTTTGTATAAATAGACTATTAACTATAATATCACTTAACAAATTGAATGGCTTAATAACAAGAAATTGAAAACTCCATTAATGGACTAAAACTTTTCCCCAAAGCGTAAATCCGATCGAAGGCAGTTTCCCTTTTGTTACCAATGACGATTAGAAATTAAAATCATCCAAGAAATAAGAACATTGATAAAACAGAATGGATAGGGACCCTCGTGAATTCTCATTTGAATTTAAAACTAGATTTATATTTCACATGAGTGTTAGGCATGCAAGATATGATGTCAAAGTAATGATCATGAAAATTTGAAGTATACCTGTTCAAGATATATACATAATTTGTTAGCCAAAGACGCTATAAATACCAAGTATTCCAGGATGGACTTACTCCCTTATTTCTCACTTCAAACGGATGTTGTTGGCATCAGATCATGACTACAAGCTAGGATCCTCTAGGTATCATTTTGGTTCTTAGCAGAAAGATTATAAGAAGAATAATATTTTCACCAAAAATTTCAATATCCAAAATGTTATTAATGACAACCAATTTTCATATATTACAAATAGATAACAATGCCAAAAAAGGTTTTCCATATTTGATTCCTCTATCCCATTTATAATCACGAAGCCAATAAAATTATTATCGATTTCCTTCATAAAGCAAGCAATTAAATTTTTGATAAGCCCCACAATCTAGGCATACACAAATTTGACTACTGACCAACAAGTTTTACAAAACAAAATTGAAATATAGTGCAATTAAACCCCCACTGTTGTGGTCTATTTTATCTGACAAGGTTAAAGGGAGCCGGTGGTAGAGGGAGAGAGATTGAGAGAGATGTGTTTGTAGAATTGTAGGGGAATGTGTGTTGTTATCCCTCCTACATTGTGCCTTTATTTATAGTAGTAAAAGGAGAGAAGATATTCCTTCTTCCCCAAGTAATACAAGTTGTAATAGGAAAGGATAACTAGAATCAAATCTAATCTAGGATTTATACAATCACACTTAAACTAGGAAAGTTTACAACACTCCCCCTTGAGTGTGTAAATACTCAATGTAGCTTCAGCATCATGCAAAAGTCGAGGAAGTCGACTCGTCGACACTGATTCTAAGGAACAACGCTTATTCTCAATAAGGTAGGAACTTGCATAAGTAGTAAGTCTCACTAAAAAACCCTAAGGCCATGGCAAAAACTCGCGTAGGGACAAAATCCATAGTCTAAGGAAAAATGCGTGAGAATTGCAAAGTCAAAAGAAACGTCTACGGGATGTCATCAGGGATATGACTAGCCCAATGTGGGTGCCTCGTTAAAACCTAGTTAGGTAGCAAAAATCCAATGGGAAAAATGCTCCTAATCGTAGGGAAAAAGATTACATTAAGATCAAGCAAGTATCTTCAAGATTCTCCCCCTGAGTTTGACAAAATTCCAAAGAGAAATAGTAAAGTTACAACTCAGAAAGTTTACGCATACCAATTCCATGAATAAACTTCTAAAATGTCGTCTTCAGCAGTGATTTGGTGAAAAGGTCGGCCAGATTATCTTGTGAACGGATTTACGTGACTTCAATCTTCTGATGCACTTATTGTTGATGTGAAAAGAATAACTTCAACGCAATGTGATTGGTGTTGTCTCATTTGATGTAACCTTTCTTGAGTTGTTCAATGCATGCTGTGTTGTCTTCAAAGATCACCTTCGAGACATCAACGACGTGATAAAGATTGCAAGAGCTTTCGAATATAACCCACAACTCCTCTCAACCAAAAGCATTCCCAAGTTGCTTCATCTATGGCAAGAATTTCAGCATGGTTAAACGAAGTGACAACTAAGGTTTATTTAGTTGACCTCCAAGAGATTGCAGTGCCTCCAACGGTAAAGACATAACCCGTTTAGGAACGCGCCTTGTGTGGAGGGTTTTAATTTGGAGTAGTATAAATAAGACTTTTTAGCCATTAGGGTTCTGAACGCAACATGGAGAGAATTTAGCAAGCTTTGGAGAATTTCAAATTTTTTACCTACAAGGTGTTTTCATTCTTTTTTTTAGTTAATGATATTTTCTTTGATTTTTATTATGAATATGTGTAACTAATTCCTTTGCTAGGGTTAGGCCATGAACCTTAGCATGAATATGTAATTTTATTAATTTGCTTATGAATGGATGCATGCTTGCTTTGAATTATTAATCACTGCGAAACTATTTATATATTTTATTGATTGATTTAGACAAGTAATTTAATGCAATTTCTATTGGAACATCACCCTGAAATTGAGGAAGGCTTCTTGTGATTAGTAGTTGTAAGCTCACTTAAGGCAAACATCACGCTCTTAAGAGTTGCATGGTTTTTTAAAGGGTTTTTACGAAACTTGATGAGTCTTGCATGTTTATATTTTATCTGAACATCACAGACAGATTGCATATTAGATATAAGTTTTCGCTTGAACATCAAAAAGAAAATATGCATTAGGAAAATCTAACATTCAAAGCATGTATGCGGAAATTCATAAGTAATTGATAGAATTGCATAGGATGGAGACGGTGACAGCTAAACCCTAGATTTCTCTAAATTGTTAATTTTAAAATACGTTTTTCTTCTTTGCTGCCATTATTTCCAAATTTCCAATTTTTTTATTGTTTATCTAATCTTTTCAAATTCATAAATCTCAAATCTTTGATAAAATCTGGACAACGACCTTACATGAGTATTTATACTATAATTACCTTGTATTCTTGCAAGTATTTTCAGTGATTTTAACCCTATTTGTGCAGGTACTAAAAATCCTATCAGGTTTTACCATGTAAAAGTATTATTGTGTGTCATTTGTACTTAATATCGCATATTTGTTGTTCTTCTTCATTGTTACATAATAGGATTAAAACTGTATTTCAAAAGTGGAGTCTACATTGAGTCACAATCAGTGGCGGATCCAAGAAAAATTATTTGGAGGGCTACATATAAAAGTTCACAAACATTTTTTAGATATATAATAACTTTAGAAATTAAACCATAGTTTCATCATTCATAGTTTATTGAACAAATAACAACAGAAGTTACAATTATCCACGACATGTTTTCA